TCTTAAACAAGTATTGCCTCGCTAAGGTTTTGGGGACAGAAAGTAGTCTAAGATTAAACCAGACTCTCTGGGATTATTGCTAAAAAAAAAAAAAAAAAGTATGGTATATCTATCTTGAATTAAAATTTTCTTAACCCAAATGCACAGCATGATTTATATTGACTTTGGTGATCTGATAAAAGAACCATAGTATCTTTGATTCTTTTTATTTTTTGTGCATTATGGTTTTGCTATGCATGTTGTTTTATTTTCAATAGCATTAGCCCAAAGAAAAATATTTATATTCTCCAGTTAAAGTCTCATAGATTCTAAATAGAAGAAAAGAAAAGAGAAGAACATATTGGAATAATGACAGGCAAGGTGTAAATTTCCCAGAAACTATGAAGAGGTTATATATTCAGCTAGCACAAATTACTTGAATGGATGTTTACTGAAGTATTATAAGATTAACTACAACAAATTTGCACAACCCAAAATATTCATTTTTTAATCATTGCTCAGTGTTGCAAAAAAGACTTAGTTTTAAAATAAATATTCCATTTCACTGGCTTCTCACATATCAATTGGGTAGCAGATGTTCTTGTTATTGTGTTTGAGGAAACCCACGTCTTGAAACGTTAACTCCATAATTCTCCCTTTCTCCTATGTTCAGGATGAGTTGATGGCAGAACTTGAAGAATTGGAGCAGGAGGAATTAAATAAGAAGATGACAAATATGCGGCTTCCAAATGTGCCTCCTTCTTCTCTCCCAGCACAGCCAGACAGAAAGCCGAGCATGCCTTCCGCTGCACGTCGATCCCGAGCAGGTCTGTTACCCAACGCAACCACCTGTGGTTGGATAATTGCTTCAAGGAATAGCCAGACCCATCCCTTTTAGCACACATTTTTTTATTTCATAAATAAACACATTTTTATTTGTAACTCACACCTGTTTTCTGTGCTGAAACTGTGAATGTCACCGATTACTAATTTTTATCCATTTTATGTTTCAGCATCATCCAGGAGGGCAGAAGAAGAGGATGATGATTTCAAACAACTGGCAGCTTGGGCTACTTAAACTAAAATGGAATTTTTTTGATGCCTTAAATTAATGGGCTACACATAAGACATAACAAATGTTTTTTTGCCAAGTTTAGAAGTTAACGAAGACTGTGTTTTATATTTATACTGGATGAATAATTGTCTTTTAAGCCTCATAAGTAAAAGTTAATAAAGGAGTTGTGGATAAATATGGAATCAGTGATGGAAAAGGGCTTCCTAGCAGTGTCTTAGAGGATCCCTCCATACTGATGGGATGGGGGCCTGTCTGTCTGTCTTGTTTACTATTGTATTTCCAGTCCTGATATATAGTTTGTAATCTCTATATATATGTTGAAAGAAAACTGAATTCTACTGGCTATAAGACATATGACAGTTTAAAAGCCATTTGAGAGTGATACATTTAGGATAGCTGGTGAAAATAACATTCTTTTCTATGTGAATACAGGTTCGCTTTGTGGATCCATGTAGCTCATGGTAAATGTAAACACATTGTGTTTCTCTTAGGAGAAACTTTTTATAGAGGCGTCTTGTATAAGTCTATACATAAGTGTTTCACTTGAATTTTGCAGTTTAAAATCTTAAAGGAGCTTTAACTGACATTTATTATACCAATTAAGCTTGGAATGGGGCAACGGATGCATTTCCCAAAATGTCTGAAAGCACTAACAGCTTACACTGCTGAGTGAGAATCTCCTGAGTGTAATTTAGCCACTTAGGCAACTGCGTTAGCAGTCCCAGGCCATTATGATGCTGTTATTGCTTCAGCGTACTAAATGTGCGAGTGTTCTTTCTTTTCTGTTTTGTGCTCTCTTGTACATTTATTTACACTTTACGGCATATTCCTTGTAAATACATAAAAATATTGGCAATTAAAAGTATATCTTGAATACAATCTTGGCCATAATTATTTTTAAATTAAAATAAATTACAAAATCCATAACATACAACAGACCAGAAAATGGCAAATATCGTATATAAAATGTTCTAGTGTTCTCTACATTTGCTCACCAACACAATGGAATGGTAAGGGCACTAGACCTGAATGTAGAAGTCCTGGGTTTCAGTCCCTGCTCTCCCAGTGGCACATACCATAGACTCTCTGAGCCTTTGTTTCTGCACTGGGAAATCTAAGGGTTAAACGTGATGATCTCTAAGGATTCCATCCTGCCACAAGCCTTCTGCATATGCTGTTTTTTGGGCAGTCTTCCTACCCTACACAACACAAAGACCAAATCTTACTTATTCCTTAAATCTTAGTTACAGTGTCCCTTGTTTTGGGGAACTTTTCTTGCTCACCCAGACTAAATCAGGTCTCCCCATTATATGCTTTCACAGTGCTCTGCTTTCTCTCATATCCCTTATCATGATTTATGTTACGTATTTACTCAAATGATCCCTTAATTATTGCTGATGTTCCCTGCTGGGCTGTGGTAACCACGAGGACAGGAACTGTATTTCTTTTGGTTCAATAGTCGATCCCCAGTGTTCTGCAGTTTCTCAC